TTATGAAAAATTAATGTTTATACGTGAAAAATTGCTGGTTAATGTGGGAAACGAAAATAATAGTGAATTACATTTATAATTTAATGTTTGAGTTCATGGGAAGCCGTACTTTTTTAATTATAAATTCAAGTAACATGCCTGTCAGGGAGGCATGTTTCTTGTTCTCCTTATTAATTTCCATTTTTTGTTGGAATGAAACAAACTTTATGGAGAATTGATGCTTATACACAGAAAATTGTTAGTTAATGTGGGAAACAAAAATAATGGAAAATTGTATTTCAAATTTTTGTGTTTTACTACAGGAAGTTGTGTATTTTTAAATTAATATCTTTCAAGTAAAATGCATCAAGGAGGCATTTTTCTTGGTTTCCCCAACTATTATATAAACCACGATAATTTTCATTACCATTCCATACCAACATCTCACCAAATCTATAAACTTTTACATCTACTATATATGTTTTACATCTAAATTTCCAACATGGGCATATTTGTTTGTTTTACAACCATGTCGATGGTCAATGCTTATCATAGGCAAATGAGACGTTATTTTGCCTATATCTTTAACGGAAAAAAATATTGTATGCAATTGTAATATATAAAATATCAAATCAATACGCATGTTTCACAGCGCCATCGTAGGTTAAATATTTACAAATGTTAGGTTCAAATGTGTTGGAGCCAATGTTTTTTCAAGATTGGCAAGATGTCAAAGGATATACGATAGAGATCCTACATCACGGCCTACAAGCTATTATTTATCAATCACTTAATATCCGGTAACCTTTTATTTAATTACTTTTTTCATGCCTAACTATAGCTATTGTTTTCAGCTTGCAATGATCGAAAGCATTTGCCCGATATTACTACATGCACTATCACATGGTTTAGTATTAAAATTACGTCGCCAGTAACAATGGTAATTATATCAATCTAATTTCGTTATTATGTATTTATGTAATTTAGTACATTCATTACATTTCTCTTTGATACATTTAATACATTTTTTTCTAGAAAATTCCAAATTGCATGCATCGTCATCTAATGCAACATTTGACAACAACTGCTATTTTGTGCCATGGTCGTTCGGTAGGAATTGAAGTTACCGTTGAGAACATGCACTCCACTATGGGAACATCAAATTTCATGATAGAGAATGATTTATATCATGGAGACATTGTACTTTTTAGACATTCTGGTTTTTTCACTTTTGAAACTTTTTTTCTACTATGGCTACAACAGTGCCACCTACTTTAACGACGAGGTGAAACTAGAGCCTAATCGTTATAGGGAATACATAACATCTCTCCATTATGAACAAGGTAACATTACACTATAATCCATAAATTATAAATTGAGTTAATTACCGATTTAGTCCCTCAACTATGAGGATTTCACCACTTTGGTCATCGACTTTCAAAATTGTCCAATTACAACCTCGACTATGGAAACGTTAACCAAAATGGTCCTCAGTCTGTTTTACTGTCAAAATGCAAGGGTAAAATAGGAAGTTCCAATTTTCTTCATCTTCCCTAACATGCCTTTGGTTTTGTTTATATACCTAGGTCTTTAGAATACATATTTCCTTCGAATCAGGCCTTCATCTCCTTCGAATTTTATCTCTCTTCTTCTTACATATTTCTCTTGAATCTACTATGGAAGCAAACTACAATGAAGATAGTTATGGGTCATCAACCAAAAAAAAAAAATTGTGTTCGAAAATGGAGAATCTTCAACGAGGCATAGTTGTTAGTGTGGGCAACAACTGAAGATATGCACTTCATGGACAAAAGACAATCCAGGTTGTAGGTTTTGGCTGTGTGAATCCGAAAATGTGAGTATTTGTATTGCTTAGAATCCAATTTGATAATTTGATAAAGTTTTTTTTTTTTTTTTTTTTTTTTTTTTTTTTTTTTTTTTTTTTGCTATAGGGAGGAACTAGTGGTGGATGCGGATTTGTTCATTGGTTTGACCCCCCCCCCCCCCCCCCCATGTGTCCGAGGTCAAAGGTTATAATCCCTGGATTGATAAGGAAGATAAATCGATATGAGCAAGAAATTGAGATCTTGAATTTGAAGTTAAGAACAAGCAGATGTGTTGCAGTGAAGGCAAAGTCAAAATGTACTTAACCATTGTGGTTAAGTTTGTTGATTGTGGTCACTGTATGTATAGTTAGGATTATGATATCCATATGTGAAAGTAGGGAAAAATTGGTTGTTAGGCTTCCTCTAGCTTAATTTACTAAATGATGTTGTAATGGAATAAGGGATTTATGTGTTTTGGCTACATGGTGTAATATATTGGTTGTGAAATGGAGTTAAGTTTAAATCCTTGAATCTATTAGCTTGAATATGTTTGTATTGTTAACTCTACACAAAATGGTCAGTAAGCTTTGGCAGTAAGGATGGTCACAAAATGGTCACAAGCTTTGACAGTAAGTAGAATTCACATTAACACAAATTTGGCTTTACAAAATGGTCTTTTTTAGCTTTCACAAGTTTGCCACATTATACTTGGCATCATAGGCCAACAAAAAAGAAGCCAACATTCCGTCTAACAAAATCCAAGAAGCCAACATACTATCCAACAAAATCCAAAATCCTGTCTAAAAAATCCCATACATAAGCCATCCACTATTCATACTAAAGTAATTGGATCTTTTTCAGTATTACTAAACTTAGATTTCATTGTTGATCTTATGAAGTACTTTCTCTTCATGATGGTTCTCTTCTTTGGTAGACCTAATGCCTTTTGTGTTCCTTTGGCCTTCACCAGCAATCCCTTTTGATGTTGTTCCACTCTCCTTGTGCTTGTAGCCTCAAACTTGAAATTCACACCTAAAGAACTAAAGTTTTCATTGGTTGTGTGCTATCATCTTGATCTGCTAGACCTTCCACTCTAATTGTCTGCATACCAATTAAACTGTGATGAAATTCCACTGGGATTTCAAATAATGAAGTGTTTCCAGATTCCAGTTGTGTTTCAAATTCAACATCAGGTTGAGTATGGATGAGAATTTCTTCTTGCCCTTCTCTTTGTGCATTTTCAGGTTCTTGTCCTTCTCTTTGTGCATTTTCAGCTCTTTGTTCTCTTGTTTTCCTTCTCTTTGTGCTTCTATCTCAGGTTGTGCTTTTCTTTGTGCAATTTCTTCTCTTTGTTGTCCTTCTTTTTGTGCTTCTATCTCAGGTTCCATGTTTCTCCCCTCTCTCTCTCTCTCTCTCTCTCTATATATATATATATATATATATATATATATATATATATATATATATATAAAAGATAGAAATATTGTTAGATGTACACAAAGTTCAAAGTTCAATTATTTATCCATTACAATTTATTAGAGTTATATGATGACATCTTCTACTGTTGTGACCACCTTTCTTGCATGTTCTACAATGAAGCTTCACATTTGTTCTTGATAAATGCACTCCATCTTTTGTTAGTTAAGGGGCAGATTTTTTGACTTCATGGGCAAAATTTTCCTAAGCTTTCTTGGTCTTCTAACTTTAGCAGTGTATAAAGGTGGCAATGGGGGTTGTCTATCACTGTCTGGCCACTCTTCAGCCCCAGCTAATGGGTGAATAAGTCATTGCATAAGTCTTCATATACCTTAAAACTGAATAGGAAGAATCCACATAGTCAAATAATTGAATTTCCCTCTCTTAAGCCAAATAGCGCATATTACATGCCTGCAAAGTATGCCTATCAACTGTCATTTCCTACATGAACATGTCATAGCCCTAAGATCCACTGCATGGTGATCATAAGCTCCTTTCACTTCAAATAAATAGTCTTCACTTTCATACCCCCAGTACCCTCCTACTTGTTTCTCAAAAACTAACAATTTTGCAACAATTGTTGCACATATTTTGCAAGTCCAATTTCCACCTTGCTGCTGATAAGTGTCAAAGATGCTATGTTTTATAAGTATTTTATAGGCTAATTATGCTTTAATTGGAGTCTTTTATACCTACACTACTACAAAAAAGGACTTTAACGTCGGTTTTTTGACCCCATTTAACGTCGGTTTTCGACCGACGTCTAGGTAGGAGACGTCATAAATAATGAGATACGACGTCGGTTAAAAAATCGACGTCGTATAATTTTTAAATTATTAATATTAACATACGACATCGGTTATTAAGAAATAACCGACGTCGTAAATGTTTTAAAATTATTTTTAATTAAGAAACGACGTCGGTTTTTTAATAAAACAAAATAAATTCACATAAGACGTCGATTTTTATGGAAAAACCGACGTCTTATGTTAACTTTAAAAATTAAAAAAAAAAAAAGACGTCAGTTATTTTTAAATTAAATAAATAACTGACGACGTTTATTTTTTTTTTTTTAAACAATTTTTCACCCAATTTCTTAACCTGTCCAGCAATTTGATATTCAAAATCTCACAATTAATCAAAACTAATAAATCTTACAATTAATTTAAAAGCTCATGCCATCAACTAAACAAGTTAAATTTATGGTAATTCTACAATTAATTAATAATAGTAATAATAATAATTTCAAACTTAAATTATCAACACTAACTAAACTTCAAGAATTGCTTTAAGTCATTCATTAATAAAATACTTACATAATACATCTCTAACTTCATCAACAGGCTTACTGCATGGATACACCTATTAATATAAAACATAAAATATGTATAAGTACTTGACATCACTATATCAATAATAACTATTAATTATTTATAAATTTGCATACGTTTCCGTTATCTCTTTAATGTCATCACGTGGCGGGTGACCAAGTGAATCAAACTAAAATAAGTATATAATTGTACCAAGTGGCTTGTGGTCCACTGGTACCTGATAACTATATAATAGTATTTAAAATGTAATTAATGCTTGAGATCATATTGATCTTTAGGGATCACTGTAAAAAAAACCCAACACGTCAAGAAAAAAGAAAAAGCTTACACAAATGGTAATGAATGTAAGTATAAAGGAAAAGTGATACTTTTCAGACAAGAAAAATCATTGAAGAAAAGTTCCGTATCACATTGTGCCATATTGCAAAAGTTTCATCATCGTCTTCATAAACACTAATCCATAATCTATTAGCTGGGAGTCCATATCTATAAGCAACCATATAAGAATTAATTAATATATATTTACTTAGACAATTGAATCTATGTTGATCCATATATGCAATGTAACTTGGAAAAGGCAAAGACTTAAATTTACTAGTCAATACCCAAACCTTCTAAAAAAAAGACAAAGGGGCAGATGCAAATTGGAATAAGACTCATGGCAGAAGTAGTGAAATCATATTGAGAGCCTGCCAATATATCACATTATATAAAGTTCTTTTCCTCAAGATACCCTGGAGGTCAAGGATTGTTGCAAGGCTGCTTCTCCTTCAGATTGGCATTTTCCATTGAGAACACACAAGCAGAAATATGCATTTTCTCTTTGAGTCCACAACAGATGAAGGTTTAGGAGGATATCGATGTGAAACTTGGCACACAGTAAAGACATTAAGGTGATCAACCATGCTAATAATGACATCAGGACATAATAGAAAGCTACTAAAATAGGGCAATAACCAGATCTTCATAAAATGGTGTCTGCTCAGGAAGTAAAGCGCGATCTACATCCTCTCCTTTGCTAGCATATTGTTCACCATACCATCATGTGTCTAGTTGGTCAGCTCCAAAATCAAGAGGACCAGATATAAAGGCAAAAACTCAAGCTGCACTTCAGTGTAAAAGAATGAAATGAAAACTCAAATTAGTATCAATCTCTGAAAAAGTATATATAGCATGAGGGGAAATCAAGTTAAGATATTCTGTATAAATTAGAAATCAGAAATAGTCAACAGTTAAGAAAACTATGAAATTGCTAGACCTAATGCAAATGTGTTTCCATATTTAGATCCAAGGTAATTAAAGAGAGCTTCCATTGCTGATCCAAAGCCTCTTCCCCCCCAGCAAAACTCCAAACAAAGAGAGCCAAGGCAGATACACACAGTGTTCAGTCATAGCCGTTAAAAAATCTACCTTAGAGAACTATAGGCTGCAATTTTTGGAACCTTAAGCAGTATATATACATAACAAGTAGCTTTTCTTACCCACAATTCCACTTGAAGTCTCCTTCACAATAGACATTAAAGGCCATGGTTTGAAAAGATAATTCATTGGAAATGGATGCTTTATAATTCCCTTCTCATGGTCATGATCTAGTAGGGGTGCCTTTGAACTTTCACGCCCTTGCCTCTGCATGAATCTTATAGCTCTATCTTCCCCACCTACAAAGGAAATAGATATATAGTATCGAGAACTAATAAAGATATTATTTCAGGAAATTGTGAACATAAGTAGCCAGGGAAGGTAGAGAGTCATGGTAGACCATGGAAGCTTTTGTTGTATAGTTTCCAACTTCCAAGTGTAGGAGCATTTGTAACATTTTACTATGTACATGTCATCCATCAATAGTCCACATTGAAACATGCATGTGTTACCTACTCTGCTAAACCTAAAATTGAGTGAATGGTAAAATGTAAAATCAAATTAAGAATTAAGAACCAAATGTAATGTATGTACCTAAACAGGCAATAAGATATCTTTCAAAGCAGTACATAGCAAAGGACTCATAGCCATCACGTAATATCTCGATGTAACACTGATTGCTGGATTCAACAAGGACACAAACTGAACAAGAAAACCACAGAAGTATACTCATGAGATGAAAATTCAAGAAATTTGTCAAAGTAAGTTTTAAAGCCTAAAATGACAGACCAGATGCTTCTAGCAGAATCTCCAACCAGATTGACACCAAAAATCATCAATCCAACTGTGCAGAGAAGGAGTACTCAATGTATAATAATAAAAACAAAATGTAGCAAGTCATATAATTTTGCATATTTGTTCAAGGAATAGACTGCTACATTCAATCCCAGAGAATTTTAGGAATATAAATATTTAGAAAGAAAAAAAAAATAGAAGAGAAAAAAGCAACAGTTTTTCTGTGATGAGCAAGGATGCATTGTGTTTTATAAATTTTAACAACAAAAGTTTGGATTTAGGGAGAAAGTCCATGATGAGATAGAATCAACTCTGTATTGCATTCCAAGAATAATAATGAGGTGGTTGTTTCTGTTTCTCTATCTATTTTTGAGTATCATAGCCAAATTCATACAGTGTATTAATTGAACATCTGTAAACTTGTGAAATTATAGCAACTTGTTATGTTAATTGTAAATATCTGTGTTGTGAAATACACAGCACCATACTCCAGGGAGTACTTGTTATTGGCAAAATACTATAAATGTATTTAAATATGTACACCTACAAGCATATCAAAAACCTAAAAGGGCACATAATTTTGAAGCTAGCAAGAATATAATGCTGGCAATAATAAGCAAGTTGAATAATTTGAGAACATACCTGGGTACCGTAGCTTCCGGCGACCAGGTGCGGCGAGGCGACGTCCGTTGAAGCTTTTGCGACGACGCGACGCGACGGCTGGGGGCGGCTGGCGACGACGAATTCAAAAGGGGCGATGACTGGCTGTTGCGGCGGCTGGAGACGACGGGGCTGCTGCGGCAGTTGGCGACGACGACTTCGAAGTGGCGGCGACGGTGGCGACGAGAAGGAGGAGCTGGAGCAGTGGCGACGACGTCAGGCGGCGGTGTAGCGTGCGGTGGGGTGGGGCGGGGCGGCCGTGTGGTGTGTTGAAGAAGAAAGATATTTTTTTTTGTCCGAATAAGTGGTATTTTTAGGGCTGAGTAAAAAAATAACCGATGTCGTATACTTAATAATTTATTATTTTTTAAAAATTAAAGGTTACGACGTAGGTCATCTCTAAAATCGACGCCATAACCTTAATAAAAATTAAAAAAAAAAAAAAACCTTATATTATACGACGTCAGCTCGTTAATTAGTCGACGTCGTATAGTATATTTATTTCTTTTTTTATATATATAAATACATATAAGATCGGTTGTCTCACCAAATCGACGTTATATGTATTTTAAAAAATATTAAAAATTATTTTAAATTTTTAACGTCGATTTTCTAAAAAATCGACGTTAAATTGGCGACGTTATAAGTGTTTTCTGTAGTAGTGCTAATTCATGCTTAAATAGCTTAATTTGATAGAAATTAGGATTAAGGACTAATTCTATTGCCTTTGTAGAAAAATAGCAAAACATTTCCAATTTCAGGGCATTCCGGCGACAATTCGGTAGATTGATCATATCTTGAGATTGGAGTGCCCAAATAAGGTGATTCCAGTGGCCATGGTTTGGCAACTTCAAGGGATACAACTTTGGTGAAGGAAAGAATGTCAAATTCGCAACAACGTGACTCACAACGTGCGTTGTAAGCGCGTTTTCGGGAAGGCCGAAAGAACAACGAAATTCACAACGCGAGTTGTGAATTAGTTGTGATGCCCAGCGCGGAAAAGTCAGATTTTTAGCCTATTTAAAAGCTTGTAAGGGGATCACTTAGACAACCACTCTTTTTCTCATTCTTTTACTCTCATATTCACCACTCTTAGGTTAGGTTAGATTAAGGTTTATCTTTTCTTTTCATTTTCTTAGATTAGATTTACTTTCCTTTCAACAATTCATTGTTCAAAATTGCTATTGGATTACAAGCATCAAGAATGAAGACTTGGGTAACCACTCTTCCTTGTTCATATTTCATATCTAATTTATGCTTTGTGATCTTATTAATGCTGATGAATTGCTAGATTTCTAGGATTTGGATTGTGTTTGTGCTCTTATGTTTTGAATGTATGAATGATGAGATTGGTTTTATGTTTTGGCCTTGTATGCCTTTGTTGTAGAGGAGTGCATATTGATCTCTTTCCATTGAGGTACCCAATGGTTAGATGAGTGTGAGAGTGGGAGTTTAGCGAGAGATTGCACTCTCCTTAGTCTTGCCCTTGCAATCTCCTTCCTACGACCCGAGAGGGCGAGCTTAGGGGAGGAAACGGTAGACCGCCCACCAAGTGTTTGATAAAATGCATCGCCCGATGTAGGGAACGAGAGACTAGGTCCTACGCGCCCTAGTGATGGTGTCTTAGGTCTCCCTTAGGATAGTCAATTCCATTTCACCATTTCTCGTCCCAAGTTGAAGACCAATGAATGCATGATCACAAATCCTTTCCATCCAAATCCCCGTTTTAACTTCTTGCTTATTTCCTTTATTTCTTTTATTTCCTTGTTCTCTATGTTTACACCCATGCTACCACCTAATCTTCCCTTGCACCTAGTTCACTTTCATTGAGGCATTGTGACATAGGATTGTCTTGCACTTTGCTTGCTCCTATTTGCTATCCTTGAGTTCAACACGCGGGGGTTTCACAACCTTCGTTTACACTTGCACATTCCACCCCACTAAAACTACACGTTATCAAAGTGGCGCCGTTGCTGGGGATGGCAATAGGTGTCAAGTGAAGTGTGCTACTATGACAATTTAGGAATGTGTTAATAGGATTTCTAGGTTGCCCGTTTCATTTCTTGTTTATCCATTGTGATCATTTGTTTTATCTTGTGAATCATCTTGTTGTTTATTCTACAATTCCATTGTTTTTTGTGTGATTCCATAGTATTTTTCTTGTTTTTGTACATATCTATGTTTACTACTTGCTTGGAAGTGGGCACCAATTCTTTGTATGCATTTTTGCTCACCTTGCAACTACTTTTAGTTGCAAGTATACTTGTTTGGTGAAGCTATTTTTGCAGGAATTTTTCAAATTCAATACCAAATGAGCTCACCAATGCTTAAGGATTCTTATCCTTATGGTTGTCCACCCGGTGAAACCGTACCATTGAGCCAATTCTCAACTCACACATGTGAACATCACCTACCTTACAACCCTTATCCATACTACCATCCACCATACTATCCATAACACTACCACTTACCAAACTCACCATATCCATTTCACCATTCACCACCACCTCCAAACCAATTTGAACCCCAACATTTTTACCAACCTCAAACACCCACTCAATGGAATGAACTACTTCAAGAAAACCCACCACACCTCCCTAATGAGCTTAAGGACCTTGAGATTAAGTGGCAGGAGATTATACTTGAGGAAAATGAACAATTGCTAAATCTCAAAGCTGGAATAAAAAAGGAACAAGGGAAAGAGTTAGCTTTATTGAAGGATGCTATGTTGCAACCATTGCAACAATTTGAAAACACTCTTCGCCTCTTGATGGAAAAGCTCACCGCAAGCATTGAGATTGAGGCCCAAGTGAATGCTACAAAGAACACCGAACCGGAGAGGGCCGATGACAATCTTTTGCTTGACGATTCTCCTATGCTTCAAGAGATTCCACTTCATGAAAGGACACAACCAAGATGAATGGAAGAAACTAGTGAGGAGGAGGACAACATTGAGGTAGTGTGGGTAGACAAGGAGCCGAGTAATGACAATATGTATGGTAATTTTCTTAAACCTTCTTGTGTCATTGAACTTGGAAATCTGTATGTTAAATGTTGCATTGACTCTACTTGTGCCCCGTTTGAGAGTAATACCTTTGATGATTCTATTGATCCTTGCTTTGATATATCTATTGATGATGACTTTGGGGGAGTTTTCATAGATTCTAGTGATACCGACTCTATGGGTACAATAGGGGATTGTGACAACATATCTTTCCATTCCTTGAGTGTGTATTATGATTGTGAAAACCTAGATTGGGGTGAGGAGTGTTTGGATTGTGAAGTTGAGGGTAGAGAGATTGGAATGAATTTAGAAAAAGAGCAAATTAGTGGTGAGAATAGGAATCTATGTGTGGAAAGAAATAAGGGGATGGAATTTGACAATGACTGTAACACCCTTAATAGGATTTCTAGGTTGCCCGTTTCATTTCTTGTTTATCCATTGTGATCATTTGTTTTATCTTGTGAACCATCTTGTTGTTTATTCTACCATTCCATTGTTTTTTGTGTGATTCCATAGTATTTTTCTTGTTTTTGTACATATCTTTGTTTACTACTTGCTTGGAAGTGGGCACCAATTCTTTGTAGGCATTTTTGCTCACCTTGCAACTACTTTTAGTTGCAAGTATACTTGTTTGGTGAAGCTATTTTTGCAGGAATTTTTCAAATTCAATACCAAATGAGCTCACCAATGCTTAAGGATTCTTATCCTTATGGTTGTCCACCCGGTGAAACCGTACCATTGAGCCAATTCCCAACTCACACATGTGAACATCACCTACCTTACAACCCTTATCCATACTACCATCCACCATACTATCCATAACACTACCACTTACCAAACTCACCATATCCATTTCACCATTCACCACCACCTCCAAACCAATTTGAACCCCAACATTTTTACCAACCTCAAACACCCACTCAATGGAATGAACTACTTCAAGAAAACCCACCACACCTCCCTAATGAGCTTAAGGACCTTGAGATTAAGTGGCAGGAGATTATACTTGAGGAAAATGAACAATTGCTAAATCTCAAAGCTGGAATAAAAAAGGAACAAGGGAAAGAGTTAGCTTTATTGAAGGATGCTATATTGCAACCATTGCAACAATTTGAAAACACTCTTCGCCTCTTGATGGAAAAGCTCACCGCAAGCATTGAGATTGAGGCCCAAGTGAATGCTACAAAGAGCACCGAACCGGAGAGGGCCGATGACAATCTTTTGCTTGACGATTCTCCTATGCTTAAAGAGATTCCACTTCATGAAAGGACACAACCAAGATGAATGGAAGAAACTAGTGAGGAGGAGGACAACATTGAGGTAGTGTGGGAAGACAAGGAGCCGAGTAATGACAATATGTATGGTAATTTTCTTAAACCTTCTTGTGTCATTGAACTTGGAAATCTGTATGTTAAATGTTGCATTGACTCTACTTGTGCCCCGTTTGAGAGTAATACCTTTGATGATTCTATTGATCCTTGCTTTGATATATCTATTGATGATGACTTTGGGGGAGTTTTCATAGATTCTAGTGATACCGACTCTATGGGTACAATAGGGGATTGTGACAACATATCTTTCCATTCCTTGAGTGTGTATTATGATTGTGAAAACCTAGATTGGGGTGAGGAGTGTTTGGACGGTGAAGTTGAGGGTAGAGAGATTGGAATGAATTTAGAAAAAGAGCAAATTGGTGGTGAGAATAGGAATCTATGTGTGGAAAGAAATAAGGGGATGGAATTTGACAATGACTGTAACACCACCCCCCCCCCCCCCCCCCCCAAAAAAAAAAAAAAAAAAAACATGCTATAAAAAAAGCCTTAACACATGCAGATAACACAACTAAACACTAGCACAGCGGATGATTAAAAGATAACTGGATAAACGTAAATCTTAGTCATGGGGTGATACGCCACGTTTACCAACAACGATAAACGCTACAGCAAAAACTGCATGGTTCACAACGATCCCAAATCTCATATGTCTATAACTAAATCAGCTCATAGATCGTAAGACAAACGAAAGGAGCTATACTATCGACACTAGACATCGCGCTTGTCTAGACATCACCTGAAAGAACACAACAAAAACATGGGACGACGCCTGGTCAGCGAATAATGCGGTAACCCACCAATACCTGTTAAGTATCATACATAGAATGGATATATATATACAGAATCATTTCGAAACGGAATACATATATATAAGTGTAAAACCAAGAGCAAACACAACTCAAGACTCAACACTCTCAAAG